CCCCCCCCCCCCCCCCCCCCCCCCCCCCCCCCCCCCCGACCCCCCGCCCCCCCCCCCCCCCCCCCCCCCCCCCCCCCCCCCCCCCCCCCCCCCCCCCTTTTCCCGTCGCCTGTCGAGGCGACCTGAGAGGCCAGCTGAGGGGTGGCAGGTGTGTGGTCTCCCCTGCTTCTCCTCCTCCTTCGTCTCGAGCCGCCCTGCAGCCGAGCCGCCTCGCCGCCGAGCCGCTCTACACCCGAGCCTCCCAGCAGCCGCGCCGCCCTGCAGCCGAGCCGCTCTACACCCGAGCCTCCCAGCAGCCGAGCCGCCCTACAGCCGCGCCGCCGGGTCGCCGAGCTGCCGAGCTGCAGTTGCTGCCGAGCCGCCCTGCTGCCGAGCCGCCCGAGTCGCCCGAGCCGCAGAGCCGCCGTGCTCCCGAGCCTCTGAGTCGCCGAGCCTACTCTACCCACTACTGGTGAGCCCCTGCCCTGCTAGCACGCTGCGCGTCGCCTGCTTGCCTGCCTGCCTCCCTTTTGGCTTGCCTGGCTGCCTGCCTTACTGCTGCTACTCCTGCTCCTGCCTCTACTGGTGGAGCCAGATGCGGCCCCATCGACGTCTGCGTGAGTCCCTCACGCCCCAGCAGCTGCGTGAGTGGTACGCTGGTTGGGGCTGTAGGGGTGGTGGCGCTACAACTGCTACCACTCCTGCTGCTTCTCCTACTGGTGGCGGCCAGATGCAGCTCCCGCGACCCCCCCGCGCGTCTCTCACGCCTCAGTAGCTTCGTGAGTGGTACGCTCAGAGTGGAGGGTCTCTCAGTTCTGTTCGCTGCTCTTACGTGATTCTCACTGGTGCTCGGACTGGTCAGCCTTGTGGGACACCTAGTCATACACAGTCCCGCTGCTTCGCCCGTCTGAGCGACGCCTGGCGTACCGTGTTTGGCGACGAGGCTGAGCTTCCCGACTTGGTGGAGTTGCTTAGGCAGAGGGTAGATATATTTGCTCTTGACTATGATGCTATTCTCACTGCCATGTATGCATTGCCTACTAGTGCTGACCGTGCCGGTCACCTGTGCGTACCGCCTGACCCGGTATAGGACCTGCTGCTCTAGCTATTGCTGAGGCTGCTGCTGCTCTGGGTGCTAGTGAGTCTCCTGCTCCAGGTACAGGTGCGGCTGCTGCTCTAGGTGCTAGTGAGTCTGCTTCCTCAGGTGCGGGTGAGGCTGCGCTCTCAGGTACCACGTTGGCTTCGGCCTCCCTCACCTTTACACTTGACTCTGGGGCTTCTCGCTCCTTCTTTCGGGACCGCACCACACTCACGCCGCTTGGTCGGCCTGTTGCAGTCTCCCTGGCTGACCCCTCTGGGGGTCCTGTCCTCGCTCACTTTTCCACTGTCCTCCCGTGTCCGGCTGCCCCCTCGGGCACCCTGTCTGGCCTGTACCTCCCTCGTTCTCGACGAACTTGGTGAGTGGTGCAGACCTGCAGGATGCGGGGGTTCACCAGTTCACTCCTGCGAGTCAGCGGGTGACCCACTGCACGGACGCACGCACAGGCCGGCACCTGGCCACGTTCTCGCGTCGGCCGGGGTCGAGCCTCTACACCCTGACCACTGAGTTTCCTCCTGTCCCTGCGTCCGGTTAGGTAGCAGCGTCAGGTCAGGTGTTTGCTGCTGCGTCCAGGTCTGGTCCTGAGTCTGCCCCCTGCTCGTGTCGCCTCTTGTCTCACGAGACTCTCCTGTGGCACCACCGTCTTGGCCACCCCTCCTTGCCCCGTCTTCGGGGCATGGCTTCCCGTGTCCTTGTCTCTGGTCTTCCCCAGTCTCTCCCTCCCCTTCCTTCGGGACCAGGACCTTCCTGTGTCCCCTGTGTCGAGGGGCGCCTCAGGGCTGCTCCTCACTCCTCCCAGTTTCCCCCGACAGAGGCTCCTCTGCAGACACTTCACATGGACGTGTGGGGCCCGGCCCCCGTCCGTGGGCAGGGTCACGAGCGCTACTTCCTGTTGGTGGTTGACGACTACTCGCGTTACACCACAGTCTTCCCCTTGCGCAGCAAGGGTGCTGTCACTGAGGTGCTGATCGACTGGATCCGCGAGGCTCGTCTCCAGCTCAGGAGGAGCTTCGGCTCGGACTTTCCTGTTCTGCGTCTGCACTCTGACCGAGGTGGGGAGTTCTCCTCTCGCCTTCTACGCGACTACTGTCGTGCACAGGGGATCCGCCAGACCTTTACGCTTCCGGACTCTCCACAGCAAAATGGGATTGCTGAGCGCCGCATTGGCATGGTCATGGATGTCGCTCGTACGTCCATGATGCATGCGGCTGCCCCCCATTTTCTGTGGCCGTTTGCGGTTCGGTACGCGGCGCATCAGCTCAACCTTCACCCCAGGGTCTCTCGGCCCGATATGTCCCCAGTGTTACTGTGGACGGGGAAGGTCGGCGATGCGTCTGCGTTCCGTGTCTGGGGATCTCGGGCGTTTGTCCGCGACTTGTCTGCGAACAAGCTGTCCCCCCGTGCTGCTCCCTGTGTCTTCCTTGGCTTCCCCCCTGACGCTCCAGGGTGGCAGTTTTACCACCCCTCCTCTCGTCGTGTTCTGTCCTCCCAGGACGTCACGTTCGACGAATCAGTCCCCTTCTACCGCCTCTTCCCCTACCGTACTCCTTCCCTCCCCCCCCCACCGGACTTCCTGGTGCCAGTTCCCCCCCGGTAGACCCCCTCCCCCCTCAGGTTCCTGCCCCTTCAGGTGTGTCCCAGGTAGACACAGTCGAGCCAGTCGAGGTTGCTGCTGAGTCTGGTCCTGCTGCGGGTGCAGAGTGTGGGGGTGCTACGCCTGCGGGTGCTGAGCTTGGGGGTGCTGCTGCTGGGGGTGCTGAGCCTGGGGGTGCGAGGCCGGGGGGTGCTGAGCTTGGGGGTGCTGCTGCTGGGGGTGCTGAGCCGGGAGGTGCTACGTCAGGAGCTGCTGAGCCTGGGGGTGCTGAGCCTGGAGGTGCGGAGCCTGCGACTGCTGGACCTGGGGGCTCTCCGGTTGCTCCGTCTCGGCGGGAGCCGCTCTCTCCACACGAGCTGCGCGAGTGGTTTGCTCGCCGCTGGAGGCGTGCTGCTGGAGCTGGAGCTCCTTCGACTGCTGCGGGTGCTGGTGCTGCCGGTCCCGGAGCTGCTGGGCCTGAGGGTCCTACTGGAGCTGGAGCTGCTGAGCCTGGGGGTGCTGAGTCTGGAGCTGCTGAGCCTGGGGGTGCTGAGTCTGGGGCTGCTGAGCCTGGGGGTGCTACATCTGGAGCCGCTGATCCTGGGGTTTCTCCTGGTGCTGCGTCTCGGCGGGAGCCCCTCTCTCCACAGGAGCTGCGCGAGTGGTTTGCTCGCCGCTGGAGGCGTACTGCTGGAGCTGGAGCTTCTTCGACCGTCGAGGGTACTGGTGCCGCCGGTCCCGGAGGTGCTACGCCTGCGGGTCCTACTGGAGCTGGGGCTGCTGAGGGCGTTGGTGCTGAGTCTGCTGCTGTCTGTCCTGACGGTGGTTCTGCTGCTGGTGCTGCTGGAGGTCCTGCCGCTGAAAATATATTCATCTAGTGAACGTAAGGGTTTGAAAGGTAACTAACGCACATGTGTAGAGAAAATTGTGCATCGGCCAGTCTGGCCGGCATTTCGCACTTATAGTGCAAGTAGGGCCAAGGAGAACGGAAACGCTCATTTCTCAAAAAGTAGAGGGAATCTAGCGGTCTCACTCGATCAGAAGGTGGGAAATATATAAATCTAGTGAGCTAATAAGGTTCGAAAGGAATCTAATGCATATGTATATGGAAAATGGTGCATTGGCCAGGTCGGTCAGTATGGGAACTTAGAGTGCAAATGCCAAGGAGAACGGAAGCGCTCAGATCTCGCATAGTACACGGAATCTAGTGGTCTCACTCAAATAGAAGGTAGGAAATAAATTCATCTAGTGAACGTAAGGGTTTGAAAGGTAACTAACGCACATGTGTAGAGAAAATTGTGCATCGGCCAGTCTGGTCGGCATTTCGCACTTATAGTGCAAGTAGGGCCAAGGAGAACGGAAACGCTCATTTCTAAAAAATTAGAAGGGATCTAGCGGTCTCACTCGATCTGAAGGTGGGAAATATATAAATCTAGTGAGCTAATAAGGTTCGAAAGGAATCTAATGCATATGTATATGGAAAATGGTGCATTGGCCAGGTCGGTCAGTATCGGAACTTAGAGTGCAAATGCCAGGGAGAACGGAAGCGCTCAGATCTCGCATAGTACACGGAATCTAGTGGTCTCACTCAAAAAAAAGGAAGGAAGGAAATAAACTCATCTAGTGAACGTAAGGGTTTGAAAGGTAACTAACGCACATGTGTAGAGAAAATGGTGCATCGGCCAGTCTGGCCGCATTTCGCACTTATAGTGCAAGTAGGGCCAAGGAGAATGGAAACGCTCATTTCTAAAAAAGGAAAGGGAATCTAGCGGTCTCACTCGATCAGAAGGTGGGAAATATATAAATCTAGTGAGCTAATAAGGTTTGAAAGGAATCTAATGCATATGTATATGGAAAATGGTGCATTGGCCAGGTCGGTCAGTATGGGAACTTAGAGTGCAAATGCCAGGGAGAACGGAAGCGCTCAGATCTCGCATAGAACACGGAATCTAGTGGTCTCACTCAAATATCAGGTAGAAAATATATTCATCTAGTGAACGTAAGGGTTTGAAAGGTAACTAACGCACATGTGTAGAGAAAATGGTGCATCGGCCAGTCTGGCCGGCATTTCGCACTTATAGTGCAAGTAGGGCCAAGGAGAACGGAAACGCTCATTTCTCAAAAAGTAAACGGAATCCAGCGGTCTCACTCGATTAGAAGGTGGGAAATATATAAATCTAGTGAGCTAATAAGGTTCGGAAGGAATCTAATGCATATGTATATGGAAAGTGGTGCATTGGCCAGGTCGGTCAGTATGGGAACTTAGAGTGCAAATGCCTGGGAGAACGGAACTGCTCAGATCTCGCATAATACACGGAATCTAGTGGTCTCACTCAAATATAAGGTAGGAAATATATTCATCTAGTGAACGTAAGGGTTTGAAAGGTAACTAACGCACATGTGTAGAGAAAATGGTGCATCGGCCAGTCTGGCCGGCATTTCGCACTCATAGTGCAGGTGGGGCCAGGGAGAACGGAAGCGCACGTTTCTCAAAAAGTAGATGGAATCTAACGGTCTCACTCGATCAGAAGGTGGGAAATATATAAATCTATTCAGCTAAAAAGGTTTGAAATGTATTCAACGCACATGTATAGAGAAAATGGTGCATTGGCTAGGTCGGTCAGTATCGGAACTTAGAATGCAAATGCCAGGGAGAACGGAAGCGCTCAGATCTCGCATAGTACACGGAATCAAGTGGTCTCACTCAAATAGAAAGTAGGAAATATATTCATCTAGTGAACGTAAGGGTTTGAAAGGTAACTAACGCACATGTGTAGAGAAAATTGTCCATCGGCCAGTCTGGCCGGCATTTCGCACTTATAGTGCAACTAGGGCCAAGGAGAACGGAAACGCTCATTTCTCAAAAAGTAGAGGGAATCTAGCAGTCTCACTCGATCAGAAGGTGGGAAATATATAAATCTAGTGAGCTAATAAGGTTCAAAAGGAATCTAATGCATATGTATATGGAAAATGGTGCATTGGCCAGGTCGGTCAGTATGGGAACTTAGAGTGCAAATGCCAGGGAGAACAGAAGCGCTCGGATCTCACATAGTACATGGAATCTAGTAGCCTCACTCAAATAGAAGGTAGGAAATAAATTCATCTAGTGAACGTAAGGGTTTGAAAGGTAACTAACGCACATGTGTAGAGAAAATGGTGCATCGGCCAGTCTGGCCGGCATTTCGCACTTATAGTGCAAGTAGGGCCAAGGAGAACGGAAACGCTCATTTCTCAAAAACTAAAGGGAATCTAGCGGTCTCACTCGATCAGAAGGTGGAAAATATATTTATCTAGTGAGCTAATAAGGTTCGAAAGGAATCTAATGCATATATATATGGAAAATGGTGCATTGGCCAGGTCGGTCAGTATGGGAACTTAGAGTGCAAATGCCAGGGAGAACGGAAGCGCTCAGGTCTCGCATAGTACACGGAATCTAGTGGTCTCACTCAAATAGAAGGTAGGAAATAAATTCATCTAGTCAACGTAAGGGTTTGAAAGGTAACTAACGCACATGTGTAGAGAAAATGGTGCATCGGCCAGTCTGGCCGGCATTTCGCACTTATAGTGCAAGTAGGGCCAAGGAGAACGGAAACGCTCATTTCTCAAAAACTAAAGGGAATCTAGCGGTCTCACTCGATCAGAAGGTGGAAAATATATTTATCTAGTGAGCTAATAAGGTTCGAAAGGAATCTAATGCATATATATATGGAAAATGGTGCATTGGCCAGGTCGGTCAGTATGGGAACTTAGAGTGCAAATGCCAGGGAGAACGGAAGCGCTCAGGTCTCGCATAGTACACGGAATCTAGTGGTCTCACTCAAATAGAAGGTAGGAAATAAATTCATCTAGTCAACGTAAGGGTTTGAAAGGTAACTAACGCACATGTGTAGAGAAAATGGTGCATCGGCCAGTCTGGCCGGCATTTCGTACTTATAGTGCAAGTAGGGCCAAGGAGAACGGAAACGCTCATTTCTCAAAAACTAAAGGGAATCTAGCGGTCTCACTCGATCAGAAGGTGGAAAATATATTATCTAGTGAGCTAATAAGGTTCGAAAGGAATCTAATGCATATATATATGGAAAATGGTGCATTGGCCAGGTCGGTCAGTATGGGAACTTAGAGTGCAAATGCCAGGGAGAACAGAAGCGCTGAGGTCTCGCATAGTACACGGAATCTAGTGGTCTCACTCAAATAGAAGGTAGGAAATAAATTCATATAGTGAACGTAAGGGTTTGAAAGGTAACTAACGCACATGTGTAGAGAATATGGTGCATCGGCCAGTCTGGCCGGCATTTCGCACTTATAGTGCAAGTAGGGCCAAGGAGAACGGAAACGCTCATTTCTCAAACAGTAAAGGGAATCTAGCGGTCTCACTCGATCAGAAGGTGGGAAATATATAAATCTAGTGAGCTAATAAGGTTCGAAAGGAATCTAATGCATATGTATATGGAAAATGGTGCATTGGCCAGGTTGGTCAGTATGGGAACTTAAATGCAAATGCCAGGGAGAACGGAAGCGCTCAGATCTCGCATAGTACACGAAATCAAGTGGTCTCACTCAAATAGAAAGTAGGAAATATATTCATCTAATGAACGTAAGGGTTTGAAAGGTAACTAACGCACATGTGTAGAGAGAATGGTGCATTGGCCAGTCTGGCCGGCATTTCGCACTTATAGTGCAAGTAGGGCCAAGGAGAACGGAAACGCTCATTTCTCAAAAAGTAAAGGGAATCTAACGGTCTCACTCGATCAGGAGGTGGGAAATATATAAATCTAGTGAGCTAAAAAGGTTTGATAGTATTCAACGCACATGTATAGAGAAAATGGTGCATTGGCCAGGTCGGTCAGTATCGGAACTTAGAGTGCAAATGCCAGGGAGAACGGAAGCGCTCAGATCTCGCATAGTACACGGAATCAAGTGGTCTCACTCAAATAGAAAGTGGGAAATATATTCATCTAGTGAATGTAAGGGTTTGAAAGGTAACTAACGCACATGTGTAGAGAAAATTGTGCATCGGCCAGTCTGGCCGGCATTTCGCACTTATAGTGCAACTAGGGCGAAGGAGAACGGAAACGCTCATTTCTCAAAAAGTAGAGGGAATCTAGCGGTCTTACTCGATCAGAAGGTGGGAAATATACAAATCTAGTGAGCTAATAAGGTTCGAAAGGAATCTAATGCATATGTATATGGAAAATGGCGCATTGGCCAGGTCGGTCAGTATGGGAACTTAGAGTGCAAATATCAGGGAGAACGGAAGCGCTCAGATCTCGCATAGTACACGGAATCTAGTGGTCTCACTCAAATATAAGGCAGGAAATATATTCATCTAGTGAACGTAAGGGTTTGAAAGGTAACTAACGCACATGTGTAGAGAAAATGGTGCATCGGCCAGTCTGGCCGGCATTTCGCACTCATAGTGCAGGTGGGGCCGGGGAGAACGGAAGCGCTCGTTTCTCAAAAAGTAGAGGGAATCTAACGGTCTCACTCGATCAGAAGGTGGGAAATATATAAATCTAGTCAGCTAAAAAGGTTTGATAGTATTCAATGCACATGTATAGAGAAAATGGTGCATTGGCCAGGTCGGTCAGTATCGGAACTTAAAATGCAAATGCCAGGGAGAACGGAAGCGCTCAGATCTCGCATAGTACACGGAATCAAGTGGTCTCACTCAAATAGAAAGTAGGAAATATATTCATCTAGTGAACGTAAGGGTTTGAAAGGTAACTAACGCACATGTGTAGAGAAAATTGTGCATCGGCCAGTCTGGCCGGCATTTCGCACTTATAGTGCAACTAGGGCCAAGGAGAACGGAAACGCTCATTTCTCAAAAAGTAGAGGGAATCTAGCGGTCTCACTCGATCAGAAGGTGGGAAATATA